CCAGTCATAAAGTGGTACCTACCTCAAGGCCTGTACTCTGGACCATCACTTATTAAATTAACTAAACAGTAATTTCTCTCTATAGTAAAATAAGGATATGGAAGTGAATTCACTCTAAAGAAGTGAATCTTGACACAGCTGTATTTTTATAAAGTGGGCCCCAAAAGATTTCTTCATGAGAAAGACGTAACAAAAATAATTCTTTGAAAGGATCTTAGAGCTGGCCTTATCTAGCTTCATAGATAACCTAAAGGGTTTCAGTTTCAAGAAGTTTCTGGGAAATGAGGTCCTGGTACCAAGACAGTTTTAGAAAATTCCTGAGACATCTGCTTAAAGCGATTTAATCATCAACAGGGGGTGTTTTATGATCCAGTGTGAAGGATTTGTGACTATGCTTGTAAACTCTGTAATTAGTTCCTAAAATTATTATAAATCTCTGTATTCAGTAATCCAGTAGAAACCCACCCCTACATCACTAACCCATTCTACTTGTAACCTGAACCAAAGACTAACCAACCAAATGACTGAATTATAATATCTTTGCTTCCAAAACTTTCTTGTTTAGAAGTTGTTTAATTGGAGTAATCAGGTCTCAGTGATGAGAACTATTGTCTGCATGTATGCATTTTTAAGGACTTAAAGAGTTTTTCACTACAACAATTTGAGGACTTATCCTAGACTCCAAAAGCAGTCACTCCATGGCAGACCCAATGCTTGTGAACTGACATTTCTGGTGCCCATGGACAGGGACCTGGCCACAGAGGCCTAGAGCTAAGAGTGAAGTATTCAGCTGATATTAAGTGAGGGGAGACCCACAACAATGCGCAAACTTATAGAGAGTACCCATTTGACCTAACACTGATGGTTTGATGATCAGAACTCCACTAGAGGAAATAAAAATCATTTTTGACAAAGGGAACAAGTGTAAATTGCTAGAATTTGATGAACTTGACCTATACTTGACCATAGTAGCTCAAAATACCAACTGAAAGGGAAGGAGGCTTCACATCAAGGATCAGTACTATCCCCTTTGTATATAGGGTTGATGTTGTTGTTGCTATGTGCCATGGAGTCGGTTCTGACTCATAGCAACCCTGTATAGAGTTTCTGAGGCTGTAAATCTTTACAGGAGCAGAAAGCCTCATCTTCCTCCTGCAGAATAGCTGGTAATTTCGAACTGCTGACCTTGAGGTTTGCAGCCCAACTTGTAACCACTACGCACCCAAAGCACCTTATATAGGGTTGATAGGGACAGGCAACTTATCATTGGCTACCTAAAATAGGGGAGAGGGGTTATAAAGTGGCTGGCTTACAGTTTTCAAGAGGGACTTTAAGAGTGTGCAGGAGATGGTAGAATCCCCACTGAATAGTTTTCATCTTGTCTAGATGGGTCTGGCGAAAGGATATGGGATTAAGATTCTAAAGATTCAATAGTGAATAATTGTTATCATGACTAATTGCGACTGTCACAACTGTAAAGGTAGAAGTTTTATAACAAAAAGGGAGGATTAGGTAATCTTACATTCCAGAAACAGAGGACCCTAGGACCATCAAGGGAGAAAAGAACAAGTGGAATGTGGGACCCTATCCAGGGAAGCAGCCACATCAGAGATGGAGTCAGAGATAAGGACATGGAGAGACAGAGCAGCTGAGGACTCTAGACTCACGGAAAGAGAAAAGCTGTGTGCTGGCAGCCAGGGAGCCCTTTGGTTATTTAAATGATTATATATATTCCTGAGTATTTTTGTGTACATTCTTCCCCTTCCCCCCCCTCCAAAAAAAAAAGAAAAAAAAAAACAGAAAAAACAAGGAAGGGGAATAGATGCAAATACTATTGAATGATGATGATGCACGGAGGGGGTTGTAATCATTGCAATGAAATGATGAGTGTAAAATGGATGTTCACCCATGTAAACTATCATTCAATTCACAATAAAAACTTAAAAAAACATTTTTTTTTTATTGAATTCAGACATTACTAAAACTGATTTTGGAAAGACATATTTTCATTTTTCATCCAAGTGTACTTTAAAAGGAAAATTCACAGAAAATATTCAGTTGTAAAATGAAATGTCTATGTAAGGGATCATGGGATGTTTATGTGAGGTATAGAGTCCAGGGACCTGCTAAAAGTCCTTGAGCAGAAAGGTTGACCAGAACAATCTTGTAGAGCCTCATGGCAGGTCATGTTCTCTACAGGTATCAGAGTTACACTGTAGGAAAGAAAGACCAACAGAAAAAGTCTATGGCTCACTGAATGCAGATTCTTACCACTTCTGCAGGTTTGTGTGCTGGCAAAACAAAAATAAAACAGTATCCCAGGTTTTTGCTTTCAGGCAAACAATGAAATTTAGATTAAATGGTATAGTGGAAAGGATTCAGATTAGGAGTTAGCAAAACATACTGCTATTCTATTTCCTACTTACTTCTAACTTGCCATGTAACATTGGTTAAGTCATATCACATTTTCTGTTTTCAAATTTATCTTCTCTAAGAAAAAGAAGTTTTGATCATATTACTTCTTAGGACCCTTAACTCAGTTCAATGACTCAATGCTTTCTTGATTGCATTTACTTAGTTATAAAGTAAATATAAGAAGACTTACAGTACGTCTTCAAAAATTATGTGTTGGTTTAACCTGAGACTTTTACTCCATCTTCTTACCTATTTCTTACCACAAAAACAATTTTTCTTTGGTTTGGAAAATGAAAGAAGCAAAGGTTGGGTTTCTGTAAATATTGTTTTCTTTCTTTCTTTCTTTCTTTCTCTCTTTCTTTCTTTCTTTCAGATTAATCTTCATGGTTCAGTAATATTAAAATACATTTGACTTTAGCTTAGGTTAGGCTAGTTAGGTTAGGTCAGGTTAGGTGCTGTTGAGTCAATTCTGACTCATAGCAACCCTATGCACAACACAATGAAACCTTGCTTGATCCTTTGCCATCCTCACAATTGTAGTTACATTTGAGCCCACTGCTGCTGCCACTGTGTCAATCCATCTCATTACCTTTACTTCATTGTTGTTAAGTGCCATCAAATAGATTCCAACTCATAATGACACTGGATAGAGTTTCCAAGGAGCAGCTGATGGGTTTGAACTGCCGACCTTGTGGTTCACAGTCCAGTGCTGATCCTATAGTGCCTTTACTTGGGACTTATCAAAGTTGGAAAAGACAGAACAGTCCAAATCTGGCCTAAATGTTCAGGGAAAATGTACCTGCAGCTATGCTGTCATGGAAAATCCTCAAAATGGACAAACCATTCACAAAAGATCAATCATTGGAGATTTATAAACTTTATGTGATCCTAATCAGGATGACTGAGTCCCAACTCAGTCAGTGTTACTGTCTTTCACCCCACACACATTTTCCTTCCAGTAAAATAGGTTAAAATGAATATCAAACCATCCCTGCTTAGAAATAAAGTCTTTGAACATTATCATTCAGAAACAGGAAACCAAAAACCATATTGTAAAACACACCACAGGCACAAACACTAAATCTGTTGCTGTAAAGTTGATTCTGACTCACTGAGACCTTAAGAACAGAGCAGAACTACTTTTATGCGGTTTCCAATACCGTAAGTCTTTACACAAGCAGATAAGTCACATCCGCCTCGCAGAGAGTGGCTGCTGTGTTCTAGTCACGGACCTTCAGTTTAGCAGCCAATTACTTAATCACTGTAACACCAGGAATCCTAACAGCAACAGCAAACTGTTATTGTTGTGATGTGCAGTGGAGTCGGTTCTAACTCATAGCGACCCTGTACAGGATTTCCGAGGCTGTAAATCTTTACAGGAGCAGAAAGCCTCATCTTTCTCCTGTGGAACAGCTGGTAGTTTCGAACTGCTGACCATTGGATTAGCAGCCTGATTCGTAAGAAATTTAAAAATAATTTCGTCCAAAAGAAGTATATTACAAATGAGTTTTCTTATTGTATTTTCAGTAGGCCACATTAGCTTGAGACAGGGAAATGTCCTTGACTGATAGTACATTTCCATGCCTGGTGGGATGAGAACCTAGTTATTAGGATTCCAAAGTTTTAAACTTGGGGAACTATCAGAATCAACTATGAGATTTTTGTGTTTTCCCCTCCCTCCCTGCCAAGCCACGCTCTCCTTTCACTTCTCCTGTGCTTATACCACTGCATATGTACACACAGTAAAATGGAAATGTTTTATTTCTTGTTGTTAGACAATACAACCTGCTGTTACTGCTCCTGCTATTGCTGCAGCTGTGTGTGAGAGACAGACAGAGAGAGAGCCATCTCCTTAAAACAAAACCACAAGTTCTTTGAGAACAGAAATTATTTCTAATTTTTATATCTCTGCATGATTTCCAGAACTATTTTTGCACTTAAGGGATGTCATCAACTACTCCTGGTTGAGTGAATTATGTTTCAAATGCTAATGTCAGAATATATTTCTGTAACTCACTTAGACCATGAACACATTCAGTATCTTTGTCTACAATCTCTTGCTCTTTCCAATTAGAAAATAAATTCTTATCCCCCACTTTAGGATCCTTTTATTGTAGGGTAATGCAGGAAACTTCAACTCTACATTTAGGAGTCCTCTTCCTATTGATCATCAATTCACATATGAAAGTTTGCCCAAGCAATCTTTTTCTTAATTTTCTTTTTGCCAACCTCAATACGTTCTTCTCACTTTCTCTTTAGATGGCCTATGTTGACTACAACTCCTATATCCACTTGTAATCTTTCCAGTTCTTATCTCCATAGTTCTGTTTTTCTTTAAGTTACAAATCTACTTAAATGTTTTTACTCACATGCTTATTTTTTCTTAGAGATTTTCTTTTGCATGTCCTTTGTCCCATTTTAGACAAGCATGGTGTCAGAGACAAATAGTTTTTGAAGACTGTGGTCATTTTAGTTGGTATACGCAATATGTTTGAGAAACTATCAATTAATAGTTTTGCCATCTGGTCTTTGATTGGGTGATTATTTTCACTTGCTAAGTGGATGGCCTCTGACCCTATAGATCCTCAGGACCCCTTTAACACAGTCCTCATCCTCGCAGTGAGTCTCTTCACAGCATCTTTAACCTCTTTGTTACGAAATGTATAAATAATGGGGTTGAAGAATGGGGTAAAAAGAGCATACACCAAGGCAATAAGCTTGTCTTTGCCCTCAGACCGGATTTCAGGTGGCCCTACATAGACAATGAAGGCAGAACCAAAGAAGAGTATCACTATAGTCATATGAGAGGAGCAGGTAGAGAAGGCCTTGGCACGACTGGCAGTAGAGGACAGCTTCAATACAGCTCTCAGGATGCCCCCGTAGAGTCCCAAAATGAGTACAAGGTTACATGCATTGATCACTCCAATCACCACAACATGGACCTGAGCATGCCAGCTTGTGTCCACACATGCCAACTGCATTAGAGGTGCCAGGTCACAAAAGTAATGGGCCACTTCTTTCAAGCAGAAGGGAAGACTGGCTGTGAGACTGGCAGGCACAAGTGCCGCTGAGAAGCCAGCCATCCAAGTGGCCCCTGCCAACCATATCTGTACCTGTCTGCTCATGAGTGCATGGTAATGGAGCGGGCGACAGATGGCAAGGTAGCGGTCCACTGCCATGACAGTCAGTAGGTAACACTCAGTCATGCCCAAGGAGTGGAAGACATACAGCTGTATGAAGCACAAAACAGAAGAGATGGGTGAACGTCCACGGAGCAAGGTATGTAGCAGCGTGGGCACCGTGGTGCTGACATACCAGAGTTCCAAGAAGGAGAGGACACTGATGAAGAAGTACATGGGTGTGGACAGTCCAGAATCTGTTCGAACCAGAATAATAATGAACAGGTTCCCTCCCAGGGTGAGAAGATAGATGCACAGGGTCCCCAAGAAAGCAAGAGGTCGCAGAGTACCAGTGGTAGTGAAACCAGCAAGGATGAAACTTTGGGTCCAAGTGTGGTTGGTGTGATCCATCATTTCTAGGAACAAGGGGTGAAGACAGAAGATTAAACACTTTAGGCTTCTTTCTTACCTGAGAAATTTCCCAAGAGCATCGGTCAAGAACACATGAGATTGAAAGGATCCTACACGTTGTCTTAGTTATCTACTGTTTACTGTTAAGTACTGTTGAGTCATCGCTGACTCACAGACCTGGCATAGGATTTCAGAATAGCAATTGGTGGTTTCAACCACCAACTATTCATTTAGCAGTCCAGTGCTTACTTAGTTACAGTGCTATACCAGGGCTCCCTTAGTTATCTAGAGTTGCCATAATAGAAGCATAACAAATGGTTGGCTTTAACAATGATCATTTCTTTTCTCACAGCTTCGTGTTGTTAGATGGTGTCCAGTCAGTCCTGACTTATAGAACAAAACATTGCCCAGTCCTACACCATTGTCACAATTGTTGTTGTGTTTGAGCCCATTGTTGTATCTATTGCATTAATCTTGTTGAGAGTCTTCCTCTTTTTTGCTGGCCCTCAATTTATCAAGAATGATGGCCTTTTCTGGAGACTAGTCCCTCCAGATAATGTGATCAAAGTACATGAGATGAAGTCTCACCATTATTGCTTCTAAGGGAAATTCTGGCTGTACTTCTTCCAAGACAGATGTATTTGTTCTTCTGACAGTCTATGACACTTTTAATATTCGTCTCCACCAAAATTAATATGCAATGATTCTTCTACAGATTTTTCATTATTTGCTATCCAGTTTTCACATGCATGAGGCAACTAAACATATCATGGATATGTCAGGTGTACCTTAATTCTCAAAAGGACGTCTTTGCTCTTTAGCACTTTAGAGAGGTCTTGTGCAGCAGATTTGCCCAATGCAACATGTCATTTTATTTATTGACTGCTGATTCCATGGATATTGATTATGGATTCAAATAAAAGTAAATTCTTGACAACTTCTATCTTTTCTCGATTTATCATAATGTTGTTTATCTGTCCAGTTGTATGGGTTTTTGTTTTCTTTACATTGAGTTGTAACCCAAGTCAGAAAGTGCTTTAAGTCCTCTTTGTTTTCACAAAGAAAGGTTGTGTCATCTGCATCTCACAGGTTGTTAATGA